AGATCCCTGCTTCGACAGACAAAAAAGTTTCTTACCTCATTTGTTTAGATCAGCAAAATTGCCCAATTTCTATCTGAACCTCTTTCTCAGCTGTATATAACATTAGCAAGCAAATTCTTTGGAATGTTTCATTCTTGATATCAACTCAGGGCAAATTCAGGTAGAGAGCTTCAATAAAATACTTTGTTAAATTTTTGGCTTTGTATGTTTAACTCCCTCATAATCAGAAAGGCAAATGCTTTTCAAGAAAGATCTAGTCTGATTTGCTTTGTTGTTCTCGTATGATTTTTAAAATAAGACTTTACTCGGAAATTTTCTTATTAAGAGCACAGTGAGGTTTTGAAAAGGAAGGTACATGTGCAAAGCCTGAAACAGTCACCTGAGGCTTCCTTTAGAGTCAATAAGAAGCAATAGGGGTAATTCAGCTCATTGCAAGTGTCCAAGGCAGGTCAGATGAATTACCCCCTATTACTTCTCCTGATTCTGAATCATAGCTTATGGCCATGATTCATGAGATCGTGATATTATGGCTTATTCCAAACACATAAGTTCATAGCAGGTTTTTCCATGTGTAACCATTTCTGCAGGAATAAAGTAACTGTAAACAGGTAATCTAATTTACTTGTGCTTTGTAAGCACTTTGCCCTCCTGTAAGCATGTAAATGCTGTGCCAGCTAACTGAGAGTGAAGATAGTGTCTCAGAGTGAGATCACTAATGGCTCTGTCCACAAAGAAGCTGTGTATCCATCATAGTGGCCACTACAGTAATGCCTTATATTTGAGTTTTCTACTAAATGCTCAGGAAGAAAGAAGCACTTTATAGTGAGACTGGCACAACTCCTTCTGTACTGAGTAGAATCATCTAGACTAATGTGGAAGGGAGATAGGAAACCTAAGCCAGGACAAGATGTAGGCGAGAAGAAAAGAACCTTCCTTTGTATGTCTCTTCTATGGCCAGATGAAAAAGCTGCTTATTCTGTTATCCAATTGTTCAGTGCACTGATTGAGACAATGAAAGACTTGAGGAAGTGCAAACCCACAGTTCTCCATTCCTCAAGAGTAGCTTACCTATGGATTATTAAAAATGGTCTTATTTTTCATATCTGTGCAAAAAGGAAGCTTCAAACAGAAAGATGGAGCAAGAAGACACACAATTCTGTAGCCCAGAAATTAGTGCTTCCAAATAGATGAATGAGGACAAAGTTTGTAGAATTTTTATGACAGTGTTCTTGAATAGGTTTGTCCTCTAATGTCCAAGTTCTGGAGAATAATTTAGGACAATTACCATAAGACCACGATTTCTCTCAAGTGGAGTGTTAGAAAGCTGACTTTGACATGCTTGGTGATTAACACTTGTGAATTGCTTTAATTAGTGAGTTTATAAGATTGTTACCATCAGTGGATGGATAACATGGGTTTGGATTTCATTTTCATCATCTGTGTGGAATTATGACCCTACTTTCCTCTGCCTGATAAAAACTGCTGAATGATGAGGTGAATATGCAGATAGAGACCATTTGTGTGAAACAAAGATGATGTGGGAGCTTTGGGAAAATATTTCATGCATTTCACTGCTTGATGGAAGAATTAATTCAGCCAGATATAAACTATGGACAGATATTCAGTTAGAGATTTAGATGCACTAGATGGTCCTGCTCCAGCAGTTGTACTGATGGAAGGAATCATATGAGTCCTTCTTATCACTCCAGGCAAAGTCAGCTGAATCAGATGAAATCACCTTCATCAACTGTGTAACCTAATTCAGCTGAAATGTTTGCCTGCCGCTTTAAGCTGAGTTTACCCACCCTGACTGTCATCAGAGAGGCCATTTTGAATTTTCATTGGCTTTCGGGTATCTTGTTGGTATTACTTTTTTATTGACCTCCAATTGGACTTCATAACCTTTTTGTCCTGGGGTTGGGCTCGGTCATTCTAATTTATGCCTTTGTGAAGAGATTACAGAGATTTAACTATATTTAGATGATAAAGATGGTGAACTGCTTGAAAAGTAGAAGTGATTGTCAATGTATTTCATGTGTTTGTGTCATTCATCTCAATCCGTCATTTAGAGATTCTGATTTTTTTTTTTCCACTAATAGTATTGATAACCTTACAAATTAAAACACTTATCATCAGTTTGGTGCAAGTCCCTGAACTCACCTGCACAACTGTGTGAAACATGCACAATATGATATAAAATGTACATATATGTTCATCATCTGTTAGATTATTTATGAGACTATTATATTATTTTTTGTGGTTACTGTTTCCCAGTGTTTCATGAGAACGGGAGACTAACCAATGAAGGCTTGATCCAAAATTCACAGAAATCAGTATAGGAGTCGCTTTAACTCTCAAGTCTTTAAATCCGTGCTGAATATGAAAACTATGTTTTCATATCATTTCAATAAGCCAAATTTACTTACATTAATGTGGGAAGTCCTTCAATATGTGTCTAGAGCTAATATGAATTAACTCTAATAATATAGTTATACTATCAATAGAACAAAGAAAATGCAAAGTTAAAGCTGTAGTGACTACTGTAATACTTGTCAGTTCACCACTCAGAAATGAAACAAAGGTGCTTAATGTGGGAATGTGCTTAGCTTTCAAATCCTACATATTAAACATAGCCTGTTCTTGGGTAATACTCAGCTGAATTCCAAACATTCTTTAAAAAAGTATTTTCATTGAGAGATCAAATATTTAAGCAGATTTTCAAAACTGACTTGGCGTGGTGATTTCTAATAGTATTTAAGAATTCTCAGTTGTCTTAAGTAACAGGCATCTCCATAAATTACTTAAAAATGGGCACATTATACACATATATTCAAAAAGAGTCTTGATAGTTTCATTCCATTCTGAGTTATTATAAGAATTTAATGTAAATTAGATTCTCAGATAATTTAGTACTAAAGATTTTTTTTTCCTTCCTGGAAAACAAAGCTTATTTACAATTGCATATTTAATTTAAAAATATAGTTAAAAACCGGACAGTTTCACACTAAGCAAGTCATTCAGAAAGTGTCCCAATTCAAAACAACTTGTGGCGAAGCTCACCGTCTCTGCAAGAAGTAAGAGAAATACTCAAAGTCTAAAAGCCGTTTCCCAGTAAACCTATAGCTGGAGTCTCAATAACTTGCCTGAGAAATGCCAGGTGCTCTGGGATGGATTTCTTCATCAGTTTTTTGTGTTTTAAAACTTTTAATGTATGCATGGTTTGTTGGGTATTTCCTTTTTCCTTTATTTTTATTTCTGATGCATACCTTTAACTCACCCCTGAAGCAGTGATATGGTCTACCTGGAGTCATCTTCTATCTGCAGTAGAAAACTTGATCTTATCATTTAATAAAGCTTTCTCAGGTAACTCCATATTTCATATTTCACGCGTATTTCAATAGACGCGTTTATGTCTGAAGTCAGTAGTTTCACCCACAATTTTTCTCATGCTTGGAAAAATGACTGTTTTTAAGAAGCCAAGTATATGCATAACTGATTACGATGAATTTAGTTTGTCCATATCAAACATTGGCAGCAATATTTCAGAAAATACAACTTAAAAACATTGTTTAAATCATTTTATACGTCATAAGCTGGTATTATCAGAGAGTGTATATGTCCATATGAATGTATCAAAGTTCAAGACCATAGTTAACAAAAATAATTACATTTTTTTAACCTATCATCTGCTTTTCTAGCCATAGCAAATATTATTTAAATAAGTGATACTAGATGAGTTGTATGCTAAAGATCCCCCCAGGTTTCAGTAATGCATGTTATGTCAAATTTCTTAATCAGCTCTTCTTTTCTTCTTGTCAGTTGGTCAAAATTAGAAAAGGCTTTTTGGTCTTGCTCCTCGTTCTCTCAGCTGTGAGATATTGCTTTTGTTATAGAAATAGAGATAAATATATATATTTTTTTCCCTACTCTACCTTTTCCTGGACCAGGCTAACACAGCCTCGGTATCTGAGTCCTTGCTTGTGTCCTAGAATGAAAAAAGTAATTCTACACAAAGATTGTATGCATCATAAAATGCAAAAATATGTTGCTTTGCATTCATATTCCCTTGCATGTTCTTGTCTGTGAATCTGAATTTGAACTCTTTTCATACAGCTGTTTTCACATCATCATCAGCAATACATAAGATATGATCGGTGATAAAAGGTTGGCTCTATGATCATAGAAACTGAGTGGAGCCTGAACTGTTCATTACTAAACTTCCATATATTTTAAACATTATTTTTGATGTGTAAAATTATTCAAGTTAAGAGGCCTGGGCTATTGTCTGGAATCCATACAAATGCACTTTGGCCTTACTTCTCTTCTAGGACATTCTGTGGGTTTGTTTAAATGACATTACATTTTAGAAAGGAAATAAGGATAATGGTATGCATGACTATATATGTTATGCATATTAAAAGTGTTAGGTTATGTGGTCTATCCTGACTACAGCACAGGTTTTTTAATTAAAGCTTATTCTTTCGTGTTCTGTCCATCCCGACTTTTAACTATCACATCTAACTAGGTCACTGAATTTTTATATTGTTAAAACATAAACAGTATGAAGTACCAATTCAGAGTTTAGAGATGTGGTTAAAAAATCGCTGGGAGTAGCTTAAGATTAGCAAGGTTATTTTTCCTTTCACTTAATTCATGTTTGAGGTGTAATTTTGGTAAACCTGCTGTTGGAAAATCTGCTACAGGACTACTTCCAAAACAAACACTAAGGACCACATCTTGCCATCACTCTGCAGGTGAAATCCGTACGGACCTGAGTTAAAAATCTGCCTTTGGAATAACAGCAGACTTTGACCGCTCACTCTAAATTTTCCTTAAAACCAGATAAGGGTAAATTTTCCCTTTAGACAATACATGTAGCTAATACTGAAGAATATCAAACTCGTTTTCACAGAAGTTTGCTCTTTGTATTTATGATGTTTTAATCTTTTAAGCCTTTAACTTATTCTGATTCTTTTTGTTCTTCTTTCCTGCCCCTTAAGCTATCTAGTAGCATTTTGGATATATATAGCAGTGACCAGGGAATGGCACCAGCTAACATGGGTCTCACAAACGCTTCTTGCCCAGCTACTTTACCTGTGAAAAGGGAACTCACAGGTAAAATAACACTGATATTTTAGTATTTTATAATTTCAAAAGTGATAGTATTTTTTGTTGAATAAATTTTACCCATGAAATAGATCTTCCATAATCATTGCCTGAGAACTTTGCAAAGCTTGTACTGTTTCAGTGAAGGAAAGGTAAAAAAGATAAAGGTGAAATATTTTTGTGTTCTCTACTCTAACAATTCAGAAATGTTTGCCCTATGGATATATGTGTATATATATATTTTTAATGAACATTATGCTTCTAATAGGACTAATTATTTTTAGGAAAAATAGTGGAGTCATCCACATGTTGGCTCCTGATCAACGGTTTAAATAAATTATCATCCATTAAATTTGTTCCAGGGTAGAACAAATGACTCTTTTAAAAGCTTACAAAAAGGCTATTCAAGGTAAATCTATATTAGTGGATTAACAACTTTAAAAGTTACATTCAGTTAATCCAAAGAATGCTAACTACCATGTACACTTTATTAGTGTCATTCAAAGGAAACAGTGAGTTTGTTCAATACGAATATCTAGAAATCTGATTAACTCTTGCATTATGGAATATACAATACATCAATGTGAATCTGGATTTGTAAGTTTTATCCTGATATGAAGTACAACAAATTGGAGAAAAACATTCCTCCGTGGCATTTCTACATATTTAAATCAATAAAAAATGTGCAATAACAAAAACTTCAGCAACCTGCCAGATAGCTTAAAAATTTAGTACTGCTAGGATATAGATTTGCTTATGATCTTGTATAAAAATAAAAAGAATAATAAAGGTATAGACTAGAAGCCTACTCCTAGTGAAAAGAGGCCATTTTGAAAAAGTGAAAGGAGGGCTGAAATTGCAACTTAAGGACTGTTTTAATAAGTGTTACTTTCTGTCAGAAGCAGATACACGAGCAATGGCAAAGGAGAGACAAAAAAAGGATAACCACAATCTCAGTGAGTATATGTTCATGTATGGCATGGAGAAAACTGAAATAATATACTGTAGCTACTATGTCGCTGCTCTTGTTCAAGATCAATATCTTGACTGGGTAATCAAATTGAACTAAGTCTGCAGACACAGAAAAATACACAGCTGTCTTCCTTGAGCTGAATTTCAAGTTTTTTTCGTTTCAAAAATATTTTACATATTTTAATGAATTTCCTCTCATATCACCTCCTGCTACTACGTTTTTATTCGACAGTTGCACACATATCCTGCACATGTAACTGTGCTTTCATTTTACTTGGTCTCTGAGACAGGATCTTTGAGAATTCCAGTGCAAAATGGACAAAAAAGGAGGAAAATAAGATGAAGATAGAGAACAGGGAAGATCCAGACTCTTCACACCTTCCTTTAGACTGTTATCTGAAGCACCAAGCTAGTGGATCCAGTCAGGTTAAATTTCTCCATCTGCAACGGGGTGGGGGGAATCGTTTACAGAGGGTAACAGACAGCTTACAAAGGCTAGTTAAGCCCCTAAAATTGTGGAAACCTTACATCAGAAAAGGAGATCAGGGCAGAACAAGGTGAGAACCGAGGTGCTCTGACTCTAGTCTGATGCATTCGCTCAAAACCCCTAACCTCTGTAAGCTATGATACACTTCTATTTCCTTTCTGGAGAACTGTATGGTCATACATAGATGTTAGCCATTTCGGTTCTAGAGGAACAGTCATTGGTAGTCTGGGTTTAGAACATAGTGAAGAATCTGTGCACTGATTTGGTTCGGTGCCTAAATATTGAACTTACAAATGTAAACAACATTTTTGTTTATCCAGAATAGAAAAATGTTTAATTTTTCTTCCTGAAAGTATAACACTAGGTAATTTTTCTGTCTTCTGAAAGGCAGCATTCTCTTTGGAAAGCACCAAATGAAATAACTACATTTTCCAGTTCTACTTCCCACACTTTCCAGCAGAAATAGTCTTATGAATTTAAACTCAAATCAGTAATTAGTTAATAAACTCTATTTAGCACTTTATTCTCTTACCATTCCAATGATCTTAGAGAGAGTCATTGCTTTACTTGCATAAAATCATGAATGTGGATTATGTGTTCCAGTACGATGTCCTAGCCACTGCTGCAGACAAGGTATCTGCTCACTTAGACTTTCCCAAAGGCATCTCTGTTTCTATCTGCATGTTTTTGTGGATTATAAACAGACTGAAGATTTCTGGGCTTCTTGCTAGCCCATCTTTTCTGAAGTGTCACTGCAGCTTCTGCTTGTCTTGATTGGGCAGAAATAGGGAGTTTATTCTAGACTAGGAAAGGTGATGGGTGTCTGAGTTGTCTGGAATTGCAGGAGGAGCAAAGACAGGAGCAAGCATACATTAGGCTTGCCAACTCTCACATTACCTCCACTGTTTATTTTGGTTATGAGATCATCCTTCCTACATACAGATGACATTAAGCATCTCAGTGAGGGTAGTACTGGGTATGTTTAATTGTCATTCACTACTGGAAGATAGTATGCCAGGATCATAGCATGCAGACATGGGCTACTTCATTGTGGTTTGGTACCAGGTGTAAACTTCAGAGCAAAGTCTCTCTGGGGATAGCTCTACTCTCTTTGACTTGCATATATTAAGGCATTGCATATAAAAGCATTCGTAGTGTGATTTAAAAAGAAAGCCCTAAAAATAAGCTATTTTATGAATGTCATTTATTTTTAGAGATGGTCTGAAAAATCAAATTTCAAAGCATGATTAGAATTATACCAGCATTTATGTTTTGGGCTGATTTAAGGCTCCCAATTTACTGTTATAAACAGAAATATTCCTGTATCTCTAAGGAGGAACTAGAAAATTATTCCTTTTAAGTGGTTAGCTCCTCAATCAAACCCTGAAAGGGAGGTTAGAAAGCCAAATTTTTCTTTGCCTTGTTTCATAGCAAGTGTTTAGCTGGCTCTTTTTTGATGAGTCTCTCTTGGAGAGCTTTTCTACTCTGTAAATATGAATTAAACAACAGTTACTAAGACTATATATTTAATGCATATTCTTGCTCCACAGTTATTTTACCAGCCTAACTTAGTTATCTTTTTTTTTTAATTGTTTGTTTGCAATCTGCTTTAGTACATTGTGTTTTCCTAAGAATTCAAGTGCACTGGTGCCCATGGGGGGAAAGGGATCACTTAACAATACACTCAAATGGACTATAATCCTGTCTCCTGAACATGTGAGTCACAACTAGAAAAACTGAGATGCTTTAATCTGATTGAAATTCATCTTTCTAGAGAGAGGCAGACAAGCTAATATGTTTTGCTGAGGCAGAGCACTTTACCAGTGTAATAAACAACACCTATGGTGTTCCCTGAATTGGAATCAGCCAAGGAGGTAATAACTGCAGAGTCAATTCACTAGCTGCAGCACAAACCTAAGAACCTCACTTAGACAGCAAGAAAAAAATATCTTTATGTATAGGAGGAGGTAAAAAATTAAAAGTAATCTATGTGATGGTGCTGAAACTGAAAGTAAAATGTTAGTAAGTATGACTATGAGAAGGCTGAAGTTAGTTTAGGAAGACCCTGTGCGCATCCCTTCTCTGAACACCTTTTCTAATATAGGTCTGTTGAGTTGTAAAGATTGTCTTTTTGACTTCTATTCAAAATCAGGCTGTCAAACTTTAAGTGCATATTTACATACATGGATAAAGCAGAACATGTATCCAATCTCCCCATGATCTAAGCTGGCCTACAGGGGTTAGCTTTGGTCGAGTGAAGTATAGCTGAATTAACATGGTGAACCCAAGGTAAGGTCTTCTGAGAAGCAATGGATAACAGAACTGGCCCCTGCAATGCTAGTCATGGACCAAAGCTGACTCCTGACCATCTAGTGAAGCCTGGACTGAGTCTAAGCATAAAATATGGAATGAGTGAGCTAAAGTGCAAGTTCATGCCAGAAGAATTTTGTAACTGGTCTATGATGGCTAGCACTACCACAACAGGACTCCTACAGCGTATATCCTTCTTCCTCCTTGAAATTTTTTTTCAAGTAGGAAAAGAGAACTTTTTTCATTTGTACAGAATTTCTGCATGGTCTTTCAATTTTGACAAAGTAAGCTACCCAGGAGCTGGAAATCATAAGCAACTGGCCCCTGATTATTCAGAGATCTGCATTACAGCACATGAATCCATGGTGTATCTGAGCTGCTATATTTGATCTCATAACTGTCTTACAGTGTTATCCACATTGCAACAGACTTATTGTATTTACAGAGCATCTATGTCTAATTTGTCCAATATGTCTTAGGACATTTTGGTCTCACTGAATATACTCTGTATGACATATTTCTGCACAAGAAACCTCCAAAAGAGAGATGGGAGAGGTCCTTTGGGCCTATCTGTTAGAGTGAGATTTCTGCATATAAAAGTAGCTGGAGAAAACCCAGCGAGGAAGCAGAAGCGAATTCTCTCTGAATTAGTCAAATGGGATGCAGAAAGGTGACAGGCCCTTTGTGCGAAGCGCAGGCACACACCTCAGTACAGACAGCCAGTACTACACTGACAAGGTCATCTGAGGGCAGAGAGAGAGGAAAATTTTAAGATGCATATTTTCTCTTTTTTTCTTTGTTACTATGCTGCAAATAAACTGATATATCATATATAGTTCATCTTTGGAGAAGCAAAATTTCAAATACAGCAAACAGTTTTGGTTATTTAAATTAAATTAAACTTTTTCTTTATTTTCTATGACTATTGAAAGTTATTGTAAATATGGTCATGCAGTCCATCACTGAAGGAAATAGAAGTCCTGAGGATGAAGTGTTTTCTGGAACACAAACTTTCCTCAGCTTCAGTGAAGGGATATAGTTGTAGTTATGCTATTTATGGTTTGCACTGCTGATACGCTGCAGCAGAAGAAGGCAAAGCAAGAAGCTGAAGTCTTTAACAGTAGGTAAGCAATAACCAGACTGTTAATCACAAACCATAACAGGAGTTTTGACATAACATGAACTGCTGGATGAGTTGTCTTTTATTCTCGTTGAAGTCATTGGCAACAAGACTTTCACTCTCTTCCACTGAGCTGGAAGATTTGTTGCATGGTAGCAGGGTGGAGAAAAGATACATAATCTTCACAAAAGGGATGTTTTTTCCCACATTTAAGGAAAAAATGACCAATTCATTCACTAGGAGTCCAGCTGTAAAGGGGTGGGAAACCTACCAGGTAGTGTATGATGATCCTGATCATGCAGTTTGTCTTGAGAGTACATCAGGGATGCAAAATATCATGCTGGAATTCCTATCTGAGGAAGAATATTCTCTCTATTGATTGACTTGTTTTTAACTAATAAAAATGTTTTATGTTGAACTTCTCCAAGAATATTTCACCATAAACATAGTAACTGTTTCTTTTTAACAGTTGAGAGAAGAAGGAGGTATAATATCAATTACCGAATCAAGGAGCTTGGCACACTCATCCCCAAGTCTAATGATCCGTGAGTTCAACAGTCTTTCCTGTAATAATGTTTATAGTTTAAAAATAATTAAAAAAAAGGTTGCATATACTTGCCCTAGGGGTGAATAATGGGGTATAGAATCTACTATGCCAGGTCATTGGCTCAGATCAAGCTGTTAAAGTAGCACATTTTTTATAGATTTTTGGTGGCTCTTAGGAAATCTTATGTTGAAAGCACAATAAAAGGAAAGCCGACCTAGTAATCCTAGGATGTTAAAGAGAGGTCTCCATGCCACTGTGGGGAGAAACACAGTTCAACACCAGAAAACCCAGCCCTCTCTTCCTGGGAGCAGTTGCTTGGTGTCTCTGGAAAAAGGAGTGATGTTTCCATCTCTAGCCATGGGCCCTCTAGTGGGATAAAACAAGATATGTGTTGCAACTGTCTGCAAAAAATAGTTCAGTCTGTAGACTGAGCATTTTTCAGAAGTTCCCCCTCCGTGGGGGGAAAAAACAACAGTCCTGAAATGCAAGGTACTTTTCTGATAAAAATAATAATTGCTATAATTGCTATAATAATAGCATTTTATACTAATGCATATACTTACAGTAATGCAAAATGCACATTGCTTAAATTATACTTGCATTCCCTGAAAGCTTATATTTGTCATCAGAATGCAAAAGCCCCCTCAGTAGGAAAGCCTACAGCAGGATTAGCAGTAGCAATTCCGTGTGATATTTAATGCTGGACCTGAACCTTAGATTTCTCATGTCAGTCAGGGATGCTTTAAGATTGTACAATGGTACGATTGTGACTTTCATAAAACTGATTATACAGATTTTTGTCTTTATCATTCGCATGTCAGTGCAGACCTGCATGTTGCTTCAAAGGAAAACATCTATTGATACTTTAGCCTTTTTTCCCCTCTTAGGACTAAAAGTTTTGCTTATTTTGAAGGTTTTTACAAAAATCTAAAGCTATTTGAGACTTACATAAGTACAAGTTTGGCATGGCAAGCTACTTTGAATGAAATAACCGTAAGAAAGTTAACATGCCACAACCCTTCTGAGAGAATTCACAGACTCTGCTTGTTCTACAGCAGCAACCCAAGATTAGACATATGGGCATGTTGCTGTTATTAATAAGAGTTTAGGTGTAACAGCTGAGTTAAAACACGAAGCACTTTGAGCATCTGAACAGTTTTGCTCACATGTGATCTCCTACAAATACATTGGTAGATGGGTTTTAATTTTGCTCATGTACCTCTTCAGTATTCGAGAGTATTTGGCAAATAATTGAAAGATTACTCAGAAAAACAGTGGATGGCACTGTTGGTTTGCAGCTCTAAAGCAATAATGGAAGCAAGTTATACTGCAACTAGAAATGGAGATAAGGCACAAATTCCAATTATGATTTTTGACAGCCTGCAAAGTGTTTTAGTTGAGTATTTTGGTTTGGATTCAGATTTAGTTTATTAATTTTTTCCAAATGTAAATATCTAGACTAATCACTTAAACTGTTCTTAAAAAGAATGATCTGGACTTGCAATTTTGCTTCAATAAATGGATGATGGATTTTACTCACTAGTTTTGATGGTGTTGCCTTGTAAAAAGGATTCAGGAAAAGATCCTGAAGACATCACCTTTTCTTGTTTTAACCTCCAAACCCATGGATTATTTTGATGGTATGACAGCCGTAGGAGTTTAGGTTTATAAAAGCACTAGGTGAGCTTAGGTGTCCCAAGCTCTGAGGACTGCTGTTTTCAAAAGGGTGATAATCAGTACTGTTTTCAAAAATAGCCTTATTTAAAAGCTTTCAAACTGGCACTAAGAAAAAAGATATCAAAATGTGCTGGTCACTCTTGTAAAGTTTATGTTGTAACATAACTTGGCTATAGCTTGGTGCCAAGTTAAATTAATCCAAAGGAGAAATGTAAACAAGGGTTGTTGGTGGTGTGTGTGGGGGGGATTTTTTTTTCTCTTCCTTTAAGTGTAAAGTCATCGATTTGACCATGTGGTTTTGTTGGCTCTGCACATTAAAATCATTATTTCTTTCTAGAATGGTCCTGCGCTGCCAAATCATAACTTAGTGTCCTTACTCCCTCTTTCAGTTCTTGCTTTTTCCTTCATAACACCTTACCGTGCCCCCAATCTGCCCTCTTCTTTGAAAGAAAGAGATATATCATTTCTTACAATATTTTCTCTGTAACATTTTATCACACGTAGCATTTTCACCTCATATATTGATTTGAAAAGATCCCTCTTATAGGGAGGACTTAGCTGTTAAAAGAGACATTATACTGATGCTTGGACTAATGACAGTGAAGCAAATGAGCCTTTGCATTGAAGAGTAAATACTACTATAACTGAGTCATTGTGGTTAGCGTGTCCATCCCAGATGGCTTGTTTCAAGAAGATTACTTTCAAACTCAGGAACAGAAAAGGATATTTTTAATGCCATTTAGAAGCCGTTAATGATTTAAATTTCTTAGTATTTGTTGGGTTTTTTTTATTTTATGTTTGTTTTGTTAGTTATATGGTGCACTTATTTGGCTGCTGCAGAGCTTCTGACTGGCTCAAAACCTCCATTCTCTTTGCTCTTTATTTAATATGAGAAGCGTGGGTTACCTTCTTAAATGAACGTGTGTTTTAAGTTCATCAGCATTGGAAAATGGAGATAAACCTAACAGGTCTCTTAAGTTTCAAAGAACAATCTCTTTTGTTTGATTTTTCAGCACTTAGATATACAATCGATAGATGCTCCAGAAATGCATTCAGACTAGAATTGTTAGCATAGCAGGAAAAAAAAAATTTTCCTGCAAGATTTGTAGTCATTTTATAGAATCAAGACATTCAGAGAATCACTCATGATTTGGGAAGAATTAGCGATTGCTTTCACTCTCTCTGTTCTGAAGTATCTGTCTGTGTCTGAGGTTGTGTTCTCTGTGGACAGACAGTCTCACGGCTAGCACTGCCAAGCTTAATGTAAAGGAAAAACTCGTGTATGCAGATGCTCTTAGAAAATGGAAACTTGCTGCCCCTTTCAGGACAACACAGTTAGTAATTGTACAGGTCATCAAAACAGGTACAAAGTCCTTCAAAGTATTTCTTTGAACAAGCACAGTTTGAAGATAATTTCTGAGAAGAAGGGAGAGAAGTGGTCTGCAAATATTTTAGTGAAGCTCAGACTGCATCTGTTGTTGGTAGCAGCTCTGTGACTGGCAAACTCTGATTGTCACCTCTCACATACTGTGTTTTTATTAATTAGTTTTAATCTTAGATGATCAGGTGCTCTTGTCCTTCCTGCAGTTCTTCGACTTGTGTAAACTGGGGAAGCTCCTTTGATTTCAACAGAGTTAAGCTAATGGAAAAGAGCTGAAGATCTGTCTCATGGCTAGGTTTATTTTCCCCTAAATAGATGGAAGTTTCACTAAGTCTCTGGGCCTTTAGTTTTGTAGGGCGACTCAGCTGTAAAAGTTAGGAGGAACTAAGAATTGGAGACTGTATAAAACACTATATATACATATAGTTTTTCATTTTTTGCCAATTTTCCATGCAAAATATGTCAAGTGTGGCAGATCTTCATTAATTAAGCTAGCTAATACATCTGTAACTTTCTTGAAATTTCATATTATTGTACTAGTTATATCTAAATGTGCTGATAAGCAGTCAGTTGACACTATGCTGGTAGCTGTACTAACACACAGGCAGACAGACACAGACATACACACAGGCCCAGTCCTCCTTGGGCTGATGCCCAGGCCTGCAGGACCTCAAACTGCTGTCAGCAGACCTATTTCATGCCTAGAGTTGCTCACCTGTAGCAGTATTTGCAGGACTGAAGCCTAACATACATACCATAAAAATGAAGATTTAAAAACAGTAATGAATGAATAGAGAGTGAAAGAGTAAAATGTAAAAAGAACTCCTTCTACCTCCAAAGATTAGTTAATCTACATCCAGCTAGATAGCTTCAAAACAGTTATGAATGCCACTGTTTATCTAGTTTTATAATTCAGATTAAACAATTTCAGATAAAATGACTAAAACTAACAGTGGCTGCTCACATTTTTAAAGAAGATTCTCAAATGACTTTGTGTGTCTCATCAGTTCAAATTTTATCTCTATTTTATACTAGGTAAGAATGGTATAGAAATCTCTAAAAAGTAGTAAACGATTTCCTAACAGCATTTCTATTATTTTTCATATAACTTTGCATCCAATTCAAAATTTAGAATTTTCAGAAATAACTGAACAGTGAAAACTAATCTGAGCGTTCCTAAATTCTCCTTATGCGATTGCTTTTCTTGGATTTAATCCATTTTTCAAATGCTAAAAACTCTTTTTTTCTTCCAGTCATGGATGAATCTGCTTGCCTGCCTGCTAAGCAGAGCTAGACACGTTAGAGACAATTGCTGGGCAAGCACCTCACCCCTCCATTTGCCTTCATCCCAAAGGATGATAACACTCTTCTTACAACCCTGTGCATCTCCTGTGTAGGGTGTCTCTCTGCTCCTCCAAAGTGCTGTCCTGTGGCTGCTGTACAGTGCTCTGGGCTAAACTAGATGGAGAATGTCTGTGATGCAGAATCAGTACAGATATCCTTCAGCATTTCCTTTTGCTCCTGGTACAAATGAGATGTGGAGTGAGAGACTCATTGATTTCTAAGGTTGCCATCATCAGATTAAATATTTCCTTTGGTATCTTCCTTTCAGATATTAGAAGATTTAGCTTCATTCAATATTGGTCATTTAATAAGACACCAACTAGTTTATGTACATACGACTAGAGATGTCAAAAATAATGTTGGATAAACACACACAAGCATGCGTGTGCTCACACACGTGCACACATAAATAAGAATCAGGAGGAATTCTCTACTTGCAGTCGGATACTGACCAGTAGGCTTGCTGTATACCACACTTCATCCAGCACAATATTTTCATGGAAAGATTTAAAAATCTCTTAAAGGGATAATAGCAACCACTCTGTGATATTTTTTCCTCTCAAGCATACATACCTGGAACAGGTACTAAAGAATGGCCCAAGCTGGTTATTTCTCAGATTATTATCAGTTTAAACGGAGCAGTTTTGTCCCTCTCAGGCTTGCTTTATAGGACTAGAACCTGTGTCAATCTTCTTGATCTTCTTGCAGTGAAGTGCATAATTTGGATAAATCCTTCTATCTTTATATTTAATGCAATGGTGCCCTTTCTTGTATTATAAAATACGAAACTTTATCAGAAGTTCAATATTTTTCAATAAAATTCATTCTTGTTCCAAGGCCTACCATCCATGACATCCCTTGAACAAATACTAAGTTTGAGCATATGCATTGTTGATAATATTACTACTTGTAAACTGGAAGTTAACACGTGGTTTCCTCAACCAGGGACAGTTTTAATCTCATTTTTTGAGATATTTATTTTGAGTTAGGCTCTGTATGTAGCTATGCTCTTTAACCTACCGAGTATTGTTTCAAGCTTTGTGAACAGACTTGATCAAGAATTTTTGTCATACTACAGTCACTCTGGTTGCCAAACTGTGATTTGTCTGCTCTGTCATCAATAAGGAGTGGCATTCAGCACAGACAATTTTTTTTTCTCAGCTAGCATAAAAGCAGCCTCATTAGTAAGTCAGGTAAAAGGAGTAGTATATTCAAAATGATCTTTAAAAATTTAAGCTTAAGTCCTCAGTAATGTATATTTCCTAGTTCATTAATGCAGAAATACTGCACATAGATTTTAATCTTAGAGTTAATAATAAAAGCAATTTTCACTAAAAATATAAAAACTGTAATGGTAGAATCATGATATTGCATTTAGCTCTCCCACAAAAAGTCACTTTATTACTTTCTTTTGACACTTATTTTCATTCTGGGATTAATTTTACTATATAAGGGCTTCTTAACTATTCTATTAAAATTTCCATTCAGAAGCAATAATATCTAAGAGTGAATAATAGTCATGTAAATCATTATTTCATATTAATGTAAAAGATTTTGTAAGTTCTTATGAATTCTGCTGACATGCACAATTGTGAAAAGGTTATCTCTACATTCTGCAGTGATATGCGCTGGAACAAAGGAACTATTTTAAAAGCATCAGTGGAGTACATCAAGTGGCTACAAAAAGAACAACAGAGAGCCAGAGAATTAGAACACAGGCAGAAGAAATTAGAGCATGCTAACAGAAGACTTCTGCTTCGAATTCAGGTTTGTGTAAGAGTGTTGCCTTGAATTACAAAGCGTTCTTACTACTTACCCCTCATCAAATTTTATTAATCTATATCATATTTCCCCAAATGCCATTTATTAAAAATGAATTGATTTTTTCCCCTGTTTATTGCTATATATATTGTGAAGATATTTGAATCAATCCTGGACACTAAATGTTCTTCTATATTTTCATTTTTCCTTGGTAGCCATTTCACATATTATAATGCCTTCGGTATACTGTGCTATGTTATACTGTCACACATCATCTGCTCATGTGACATAAAGCATCAAAATATGGCTCTACATGGCTTGAAATGCATGATTAGAGTATATCTATACGCACATATGAGATTATATATATATGCAATCAATCCCAAACTATGGTGATACATACAGATATCTGTATGTCATAAGCATCAACAAGTATAGAGTATCTTCTCTTTCTCTAGATAGCAAGCCTGATCTTCTGTGGATAATGAACTAGGGAGTTGTAACATTTTTCTATCACATATATACAGTAGTACAGGCAACAGTTTTGGAGGGGTTGTCCTACCTCTTATGTTCAGAAGATCTGCCTAATGATAGGAGTGGAATTAGAAAGAAACCAACCTATGATGCGGTTCACTGCAAATTATCAGAGGTTAATGATTATTTAAAACATAATTTCACAACTGAACAAGAGGTCTAGTTGTTATTATTTGTAATTTGCATATATTATCTGTATATTTCTTAGTGCAATCATTCTGAATACACTGTTTTCTCCTCCAAAATAATTAGTGATTTGTTTCTGTTTGAAACACTAGGAACTAGAGATACAGGCTCGTGCACATGGTCTTCCTGTCATGTCTTCGCTCAGTGCTGTAGATCTAGCTGCCCAGGTCATCAAGCAACAGTCTTACCCAGAGGAGAATGCTGTGGACTACTCTCAACAAGTATCTCTAGCCCATGGACCAAATTCTGATGTTTGTGATGGATCAACAGCTTTTTCTGATCCACTTTCACATTTCACAGATTTGTCCTTCAGTGCAGCTTTAAAAGAAGAGCAAAGGCTAGAGGAAATTTTACTGGATGACACAGTATCACCATTTGGAACAGATCCTCTCTTGTCTTCCACGTCACCAGCTGCATCGAAAGAGAGTAGCAGGAGAAGCAGCTTTAGTACAGATGATGGAGATGATTTATAAGAGCAGAAAGGGCCTCGTAATTCTTTAACCACTTGCAAAAAGACAGAGTTGAATGTAAGCATGATGTTTGCGCTTATTTCAAATATGAATATGGAGAACCACTGTAAAGATAAGTTACTACGTGGCAAGGGTTTAAACAAGCCCTTACCTCACAGGAAAATGAGATGCATATGAAGTCATATCACTCTACCCTGAATGCACAACAATTTACTCATAGCTGACATTTGCACAAGTTTTTCTTTACTGGGAACATTTTTTTACTGTCTTTCTCTGTTTTTTTTTTTAAACAGCAGTATGAAAATTGACGATGGTTACCCCCCCAAAAATACACACATTACAGAAGTGCATTCAAACCCTATTCAGTCTGCATTCACTTATCTCTGCTCTTTCATGAGGTTTAGGTATCTACTAATTTCTTCTTTTATAAATAAAATGAGAAGTTTGTATTGAAAGTTCTAAAAGCATGTAAAACAATAGGGAAATATTTAAACTGTGAAGTATATAGGAGACAGCTATTGGAGTCTGGAAAAAATGGACAGTAATGCTTTTGTACGCGTGAAGTGAGCATGAATTTAACACTGTATAGACTTCTCTTTAAAAGAAAACTAAAAATCTATTAAGTGTTTCATGGAATCCTGTTTTTACTTTCATTTATAGAAGAAGATCAGACTTTTAATGTATATTTTAATGATACAGAAGAAAAATGGAAGCTGACATAATGATGGAGACTCAAAAGAACCCATCAAACAGAAAAAGATATAACATTGCAGCCAAAAGTGTTCAGAAAGACCCTATGGATGTACAAGACTCAGCAAAGATACTCTGTGTTACAATTAACACAATTTAAAAGAATCGCTACTGGTAATAGTGCTATGTCAGCTGCTTATTGCACGAGTATTCAAGCCATGTCTTTATTCTATGGAAGTGATCAGAATTCAGAGATGAGATAGTATGCTCCCTGATTACTTCAGTTTGCTTTGGCAGCATAATAAGGTTTTTTTCTAAAGGGACTGTTCCTAATCCCTACCTACGCCTTTGATCCTTTTGGAAATGGAGGGAAATTAAAAGATTCCCATTACACATGTAGAGACAGGGAGAATTTAACTTCAAATTTGGCTTTGGATTCACTACAGAAAAGCTGAAGAGGTAAACTTCTCAAATCAAAGGGGATATTCCTAAGTGCTGATATTATGCACTGATTTCCAGAACTGGCCTGCTAGGAGTGGGCATTCACAAAATGTGCACTGATGACTCAGTAAAGGCTTGGCAGCTAGAGGGCAGCTAGAAGACATACCATTTCTGTACACAGTGAAATTTTGGAGAGTGATGTATGTTCTTGGAGTATTTTAAGTGCAATCATTTTAAGTGTGCCAGCTTATTTTCCCGTGTGTTAATATCACAAGTTCTTCATAGCTCTTCCTCATTCAGAGCCAGAAGTTGGGAGTTCTCTAACAATTCAACATATGTTTCAAAAGTGTGTATTAAGCTTTGCTGCCACGGAGCCTGCCCCACTCTCTGGAAATGTTGCGTAATTGGGAACAGCAAGAAGAGGCTAAGGTGGATTGTGAATGAGTGAACTGAGTGAATGTTTTAAATGTGTTTAAACATAATACCCATGAATAGAGCATTCATCTAGCAGTTTCCTCATTTTGCTTCTTTTATTATTGGCTCTCCAAGTGGGCTGTCTAAAATGACTAGTTCTTGTGAGATCTGTGTTCTTCCGAGGCCGTTAACCATTCCTAAATAATCCAGATAGTGTCATGGTAGTTTCTTAATTGCAAGGTTAGCAATGAGATGATAAATTACCTCTAGCTGGCTATGAAAGATGATGGAGTATCCAATTTAACAAGAATAGTTGTGTTTTTAGGAAACTCAGGCAGTTGTGTTAGCCTATGCAAACTGCTTAGATGCAAGCTGAACAGAGTAGGCCCTATCTTCTTGTTAGATATGTGTTCCCACATAGCCTAGTACAGACCTCTTCCTCGACAAAGGCTCAGGTGTGCTTCCACTGTATGGTTAAAAAACAGGAATAGCAACCAGCAGGGTTCTGGTCATTCTCATCTTTTTTCGGAATAGAGGAAAGACAAATGCATATCAACCAAAAGTAACTGAACATAGGAGAGAACAGCATTTTAATTGGAGTGCTTCTATAAATTAAGTTCGTTAGGAAAAGAAATCACTTTGTCATAGCTTTGCCAAAGACTAGCTAATATTGAAAGCTGAATACAAAATACGGTGGCTTAAAAGTAACGTTTATTCTCACATTATGCCTAGTGTAGGATGTGTATTGTCCATTTCAGCTGATGAAAGCAGAAGATGCTTAGTTGATATCGAATGCCATTTGTCCTTGTACTGCAGTTTCTACTACATTAGTTTTAAATACACCAATGTGAATTGCTCATAATGGAGAAAAAGAAATTAAATATGAATGTATTACATGATTTTCCCATTGAACTTTTACATGGGAGTTAGACCATACTTCTGAACTGTATTGACTTTAAATAACATCCTGAATTTCATCACTTTTATAAGCACTGTTCTAAAAAAACATTATAGCACATCCATTAAATTTTTTAAAGTTGATTTTTCATTCTTCTGACAATTGTTTCAGTTTGAAGCAAACTTTTTCTTTTCCTGCATGAGAAACCTAGCAGGAGAGAGCAACTGCTCCTTTTGCAAGATATCATATTTTGTCTATCACTAAACCTGTTCAGGCTGTCTTTATTCCCCTCCACCCCGAAACACTAAGTGTATCTGTGCCTGCAGGTGTATATTATGATAATGTTGTTTCACTGTCATCACGTCTTTTTCCAGTAGGAAGTTGTTTATTTAGTATCTTTATTAGCAACTATAGTTTGTGTTATAGTATTACCCTTGAAATTAGATGGTGATACAGGACACCAAAGATGCAGTCTGTATATGCTCTTAATAATCTAGGATATTCAGGAGATGAATAGGTGGTACGGAAGATATATATGAGTGTTGACAACCCTGCTCCAAACTTTCTGGAATAAGCACTCCCTCTCCCAACTCAGATTTAGTGAGACTGCTGTAAAACTTGGAGGAGCACTTAGAGCAGGGCAGAGCTCAGTGCCTTCAGGCTTGCGGAGATGCACAGAGGAGAGGGATTTCATGACTGCAGGGACAAATCCTGATGTCCTTACTCAGGCAGAACTACTTTAGTGACCAGAGGATTTTTACAGGACTAAAGTCTGGTGCATGCAAAACACATTTTCAGTTATTTCCTATATGGATCTGTTTAATGCAATCTCATGGAAGAGCCGCATAATATATCTATGGCTCTGGGTCTGGAGAAGAATTTATACTTGCACACTTTGACCTCAAGCAGGGGAAAGGGTGAGGGAGACTGACTTTTTTTTTTTTTCAAAATGTACTAAATTAGGAATTTTTGCTTGTTTTCAGTAGCAGCTATTCAAAACTAATGAACACATTCTTACAGAATACACAAACCAGTGGACTGATAATTATACAAAAAAGAAAGGGAGCTGAAATATTAACATCTTGTTTAATTCCTGAAATGGATATATATACTATACTAAGAGCAGAAAACTAAATTTTTCACTGCATATAGTTGAAAAGCTACAGTAAGTGCAAACAGTTTTAACAGGAAAGCAGTTGCTTTATATAGTAAAATAACTAAATATAATTCAGTCATTTAATCTTAATAAGAACATTGTTATTGTAATACCTTTTGACTTTAATAGGGCTGTATATATGAATGGAGGATGTAAAATTATTGTAATTTAAAATTATGTTAAGTCTCTTAGATGAGTAAAGGCATTTACATTACTATTATGAGACTGTAGAATATTTTTATAATAATTGCTATTTTTCATTGTTAACCATATATTGTTAACCATCTTGTTTTCTAAGTCAGCGTACGCAGACAGAATGTACTTTATTACACACTGTACATGCAATCTTTTTAAAATTACATTTTATACATGCTGGTATTTTATGTTTATTATATGAATACAATTAAAGGACTGAAATTAAAACATCTCTTTATATGTCCCTTGTGAAACTTCACTATACAGTCCCACAAAGAATGCCATCACAAGAAAATATAATAACATCCGCTAAGAACATCTGAGATACCTGACAGACAAAACACTTCACAACTGCTAAACATTTCGTCCATTATGATACATCATGATGCAGTAGCCTCCCATTAATAAAAATAATTGATACATATTTTAATACGATCTCCTGCCATCTGCTTATTCCTG